GCCTCCCCCGGCATTTATTTATTTATTTATTTATTCATTCCCCGAGGGAACGGGGGGTCACAACTGCCAGGAAAACAGCTTCAAGAAGTACGCCTTGTACAGGTAGAAAAGTTAGGCAAAACTTTTGTCGCTGACCGCAGGGCAACACCTCCCTGAGCGCGCGGCCGTTCCGAGCGTCCAACCGCGGAGCGCGTCCTCCCCGCGCAGAGCCCTGGGCAGCGTCCGCCGGGGCTCCGCGGGAGGAGGCCGCCTCCCTCGCAAGGCCGGAGAAGTGCCGGTTCGTAACTAGCCGGTAAACGAGCTGCCCCCGAAACAGTGGTACAGAGCGTGGACGTGGCGCTTGCAGGGGTCCACGACCAAGTAGGCAAAAGTCTGTTGGTGGCTTTTGCTCGAGGGGTAGCACAGGCCGTTACCGTCCTGAGGGGAAGGCAAACAAAACAGTGTCAGCGACAACATGGATACCCCTGAGAGAATTCGTAAACCTGAATGAAATGTATCATCTTGTTCCACTTGCAACAGTGTATTTCATGGCAAAACAGAATAAACACACCCTAGTTTATTTAAGCAGCATTATGTGAGGATCCTGACACTGCAAAACGCACAGTAGTTCTGCCTGAATAGTTCCGATAACCTTGAGGTAAAGGTAATATTAATACAAAATGTAAACTTAAAATTGTAAGCATGTGTTTACACAATTAGAGCCTAAAACACAGATAATTAAATATACAACGGTCCAATCATGTTTCCTTTGAAACAGAAAAAAACTTAGGGACTGTATTAAGACATAAAGCTGTTCTACCAGTAATTCTTTTTCACTTAGCATTTGCTAATGCATCCGTTCAGTTTCAAATATTTGCATTTCAGGGAAACTGTCATTACCGCTCTTAGGAACAACTTTGAACTGTTATTGCAAACAGTTTGTGTGCCAGTCCTCAGAAAGGGCTTGAAGGGGATCTGGGCACCTAGCTCCAAAATCCTCATTCTGAAAACAACACGTTCAGCGGACAACCAACGCTACAAGAACTGGGCTCTTCAATTTAACATCCTGCGTCTGCCCATGTCAATAAAAGCTTCAGCGCT